GGCTGGCGGTTCAAACCCACCAGCCACTCCTCGGAAGGAAGGTTGGGCAATCCTACTTCCGTAGTGATACTGCCTCGGAAACCCAAGGAGGGTCGCTATGAGTCGGGTTTGACTCGATGGCACATAACAACAACAACAACAACTATATACTTTTAAAAAATAGATAATTCAAATTCTTTCCAAGAAAATCACTTACTGTTTTAAGCTCTTGGCGCAATTGCTGGTTATAATTTGTGGATTCTTCTAATCGAGCTTCTAAAGCAGCAATTTTTTCTTCTTTTATTTCAAGAGACTTCTTTAGAGTAGATTCTAATTTTGATTCCAAAAGTTTGTACCTACTATCCAAGTATAAAAGTAATAGAGTTCATCACAGAAGATCAGAAAATAATTTTTAAAGATAATTTATGACCACAGAAATTGATGCCATAAATAGCTCTTATAAAATTGTCTCTTTTTTTTAAGAGGCAAATTAAATTATTCTATTCTCTTTGTCCTCCTTTTAAAACTCTTCCTGGCCATGAGGCAACAAAAGTTACTCAGTAAACTCAGCTCCAGGTTACAGCCTAGGCTATCAAGAGGAAAATAATGCTTAAAAAAAAGAAAAGAAAAGAAAAAAAGACACCTGAATGATCTAAGTCTATTCCTCTTAATTTTATTAGAATCTAAACAAAGAGAGAGAAGATAGATTCAGTAATATCATCAAGCATTTTCCCATGATATTATGAGTTAAGTAGTTATACACAGACATAAAGCTCACTGAAGTACAGTCAAGGTATAGAATAGTGGTAGAACATTTTTAAAAGATAATAATGTACTAGACAGAATACTGGTGACAGAGTAGGAAGACGCAGACAGTTACAGTCTATATTCTAGTTATCTTTTTGAATGGTGAGTTCATGAAAAATTATAGTATTAATTAAACTTGCTTTTTTAAAAAAATTGTACATGGACACAATTTGAGAATGTATAATAAACCAGGGACAATGATTAATCCAATTCTTACACTTAAGAATCTTGATAACAAACCAAGTAAAAAGCTGAAGTTTTTAAGAGAGATTTCATCATATTATGCTTTTTACTGTAATTAATTTATATACAGTTTCTGCTCAACCAGATTTTAAGTTCAGTGAGTACACAGAACAAGGCTCACTCATTTTGGTATCAGTTCAAGTCAACAAACATTTTTATTTTTGCCGTGTTCCCTCCCCTCTTGCAACAAACATTTTAAAAGCATTTACTAGGTCTGATTTTTAGATATGTTGAACTTGTGATGTCTAAGTTGCTCCTGTACTGTCCAGATAGAGATGTCCAGTATAGAGAGCAAAATATGGATTTCAAGTGAGATGACAGATGAGGAATGCTCAGCATATAGAATAAACAGTTAAAATTCCTGAGACCATAACCCTAGGAAACAACTATACTGAAAGAGAAGCCAGAGGAAAAACCAAACCCTTGTTGTCTTTGAGTCAATTCCAACTCACAGCAACCCTATAGGACAGAATAGAACTGCCCCAATGGATTTCCAAGGCTGTAATCCTTATGGAAGGAGACTGCCATACGTTTCTCCTGTGGAGCAGCTGGTGGATTCAGACCACTAACCTTCCATTTAGCTGCTAAGTGCTTTAACAAGGACATCCCCAAGGCTCCTTTGACAGAGGAAAAACCAAACCCACTGCCATTGAGTCAATTCTGATTCATAGTGATCCCCATAGGGTTTCCAACGAAACCCATAGGTTTTATGAAAGCAGACTGCCTTGTCTTTCTCCTGTGGAGCAGCTGGTGGGTTTGAACTGCCAATCTTTTGGTTAGCAGCTCAATGCCTTAACCACAGTGCCACCAGAGCTCCTTCTGACAGAGGAAAAGAACTGTTAAAAGAGATAGAAGAAAGTGATCACATGCACTTTGTTTACAATTCTATCACTAATTTTGCTAAATAAATTAGATAAATTTATATAATTATACATCCAACTCTAGACTACATATATTCTTTGGTGGCAAAATCAGTATTTTAATAATAGTTGTATCTTCAAAGGAAATCAAAGGAAATAATAGCAGTTGGAAAGATGGAAAGGTTAGACTAATAAGGACATCAGGAGCATCATTTGAGATTAGAGATAAAGATATAGATATACCTAAGTTGAAAGATAGAGGGGATAGAACATTAAAGGAATTTATGTCTGTGAACTTTTATTTTTTTGGGGACATAATGGCTAACTTACCAACTGAGAAAGAAGGTGGTTTAGGGGCTTAAGACCATCCCTTTTCCTGAGCCCCCAACATTCAGTCACTGCTCTCAATTCTATTTCCTGAAAGTTTTATTTAATTTAATATATACCATTATCTTCATGTCTATCTAATGCTTTCATGAATAAAAAACTATAACCAAAAACCAAACCCACTGCCATCAAGTTGATTCTGACTAACAGAGACCTCATTGGGTTTCTAAGGCTATAAACCTTTATGGAAGTAGACTGGCTTATCTTCCTCCTGTGGAGTACCTGGTGGGTTTGAACCACCAACCTTCTGGTTAGCAGCCAAATGACTTACCCACTACTCCACCAGAGCTCCTTAATAAATAGCTATATGTAGAATGAATGAATGAATGAATTGCATCTTGCCTAGACTATCACAATAGCTTCCTAACTGGTTTCTGTACCTCCAAATTTACCTTTTCTAATCCATCTTTCATGTCACTCTAAGAATTGCTCAAATATACCTTTGTGCTTTTTTTTTTTTTTTGGGCAAGACAGACACAACAAAACATACACACCTGTTCACCAGTTTTTACATGTGGAGTTCAGTAACAAAGGTTACATACTTCACATTGTGTCATTCTCACTACCTCTAACCAATACGGTTCCACCACCATTAACTTAGACTCTGTCCCTTGAAATTCTCATCTGTGTTTTATGGTTTACTGTTGTCAATTTGATCTTAATGATACAGACAATTCTTTAAAAGAGCACAATACTCAAGGCAAACATTCTTTGTTAATTGAGCTACACTGCTGTTAGGTTTAAAAATGATCTCATGGGATAGTTTCAGTTCAAGATTTAAAATTGTTTCAAAGCAACAGATTCAGAAGTTTGTGCTCTTATATAATTGTTTTTGTCTGCAGGGAATATCCTCCCCCCAATTTATGCCTGGAAGCTCTGGTAGCACAGTGCCTAAGGCACTTGACTGCTAACCAGAAAGAAGGCTGGCGGTTCAAACCCATCAGCCACTCCTTGGAAGGAAGGTTGGGCAATCTACTTCCGTAGTGATATCACCTCAGAAAACCAAGGAGGGGTTGCTATGAGTCGGACTCAATGGCAGTGAGTTTGTTTTTGGTTTTGGTTTCATTTATGCCTAGCAAATTTCTGTCTTTCTTCTAGATTAAACTGCAGCATTAGCATTTCTATGATGTCAGATGATCAGCAGATAATTAATTAATTCAATTATGGTTGCTTGACTAAAATGACTGCTAGAAAAAATGTTTCAGGAACTTTTGTCTGTTATTGTAGCTCTAGCTTTTAAAAGTATCAATCCATGATATTTATTTTTAATATTCTCAAAATTAACTAACAAGTATCATATAATCACATTTTTTCTGTATATCTTCATTCAATATAGAATATAAACATTTACTACAATAGTAACGATCAGTATATGATAAAATACTAATTATATAATTAAAAATTTCAGTATTTAAAATATAATCTACATAAAAGAATACTCTTCATAATATACAACTTCTATTCTAACCAGAACCACATGGCAGACTGGATTCTAAATATTGGACTATTTGAAAATTAAATTAACTCTGATAGAATTACCATGGGAGAATAGAAATTTTCTTTAAACCTCTACTGAACATCTTTAAAATTAAAAGGTATATATATAGGCTAATTTTCATCCTGTTTATCACACCTTAGTTTACCATATTATTTTTATACCTTAATTGCTTCTCAGCATATTTTCCTTTGTTTTATATTTTTTCTTCCACTTCTCCTTAAGTCTACATTTTGGCACACAAAAGAACTGAGGCATTTAAACATATGATTCAAATGAAAAATAGCTTTTGCTTAAATTGACTATATTATTACACAAAGAGTGGGAGACTGATTGTTGTTAAAGGCTCATTTTATTTTCACAAACAATTATAACTTCCAAATTTCTGCTACATGAGTGGTATTTTTTCCCCTATCTGAAATGGTTTAGTGTATTTTTTTTCTCTCTTGTATTGATATTAGATTGTTTTATTTACTTACTTGTTTATTTGATTCCTTACATTTTTATTACAGAACTTTCCCTGAAGGAAGAAAGGGACCAGAAGGATAAAATACATAGATGTTTTCTATGGTTGGTACAGGAAAGAATTTTTCAACAAGAACAACAACAAAAAATTTAACTGTTCATCAAACAGACTCACCTGTCATCAGTACTCTGCTCATCATGTAAGAGTCGTTCTTTATTTAACCCTATTTTTTCAAGTTCATGAGTTAATTTTTCAAGATCATTGTTCATTTGTTGAGTCTTCAATTTTTCACTCACCAAATCCTTATTTTAAAAGAAAAACAAAAGTCATGTAATTGTCAAAAATATAAAACATCTAAGAAATCAGCCAAGATTTTAACAATTACCAGAAATGCATACTTACAACTCAAAACAGAAAAGACAGAAATGTTAAATCCTTCCTTTATCATTAAAAAGTACTTTTAAAAAAAAAGCTATAACCTAATTCAAATAGATTTTTTCCCTCCTCTTTCCGTCAATTCTTCCTTTTAAACCTAATGTTAAAAACTAAAATGAGAAAATCTGTACCTGTGAATACTCATCTTAGGCTTGGAAACTGAGGTGGGAGGGGCAGTACTACATAATCAATCATTTACTTTTTTTCCTCCCTGTGGTTTATTTATAAACTGGATTATGATTGTTCTACTAATGTCGAATCATCCTTGTATAACTGGTATGAATCCATTTAGTAATGGATTATTATTTTTTGATATATTGTTGGATTCTATTGGCTAGGATTTTGTTGAGAATTTTGATGTCTATGTTCATGAGGGATATCGGTCTATAATTGTCTTTTTTTTCAGCACTGTCTTTGGTTTTGGTATCAGGGTTATACTTGCTTCATAAAACTAGTCTGGGAGTATTCCTTCCTTTTCTATGTTCTAGAATAGTCTGTCTAAATCAAATTGATTGCATTTACCCTTAGATAATTAATTATAACTTTAATGTGTATTTCGTCTCATGAATACATGTTGGACACAACACTTCTTTCCACCACAAGCCTTCCTCTTCCCCAGCGGAAAAGGCCCAAGATACTGACCTTAAGAACTAGGGGGATGTTCTAAGAAGTTGAGACACAGAGCAACAGAAAGAAAAAATGAAAGGCTTAAGTTCCTTTGTCCTTGGTTAGCACAAACAGTTAAGTGCTCAGCTACTAACCAAGACTGGTAGTTTAAACCACCCGGAGGCACCACAAAAGAAAGGTCACAGGCACAAAAACCCTATGGAACATGGGGTTCTACTCTGCAACACATGGGGTCACCATGAGTTGGAACTGCCTCAAAGACAAGTGATTTTGCTTTTTTCTTTCGTACGGTCATCCAGCAGAAATGCAAATGGTCCAATACGCCTTTTTGCCAGAAACCTAATACTTTTCATCACCTACAGCATAGGAGAGGGATGGCAAACAAGAGTCAAGCATGTTATCTTCTAATTAGCACCAACCATGTGTCACAACACATACTTGTAAATTTAAGAATTTTTTTCAATACATAGCTCTAAGAAGACATTACCAATGGCTCACTGTTTATCTTTAAAATAAATCTGATTTGCTATCTCTGACGTATATTCATGAGCTTTGGAATCCAAAAGATCTGGGTTTGAAACAGTAATCAACCTCCGCCATTTATTAGCTGTGTGATCCTTTATGTCTCTGAACCTCAGTTTTCTAAGGTTCAGAAAGAGTCAGTTATGAAATTAATATGTATGTCTGTAAATATAACTTACATGAAGTTCTTAGCCCAGTATTTGGCACATACATGGTCAGCATTCAATGAATAGTAGCTATTATGTTTCCTTTTATACTTTTCAGTAAGAGTCTTTCTCATATATTTTAATGCAATTTTGAAATATAGTTTAAAATTATAATAAGTCAGTACCACATGAAAACCTTATTACAATTTTTTTTTAAATATATAATTTATATGTGTTTCTTGGTGTAACAAAAGTAGGAAACTTAAAAACTGTTTCTACTTTTAATTCCAATTTCCTATTCTAAACCTTGGGAGCTCTGGTAGCATAGTGCCTAAGGCACTTGACTGCTCACCAGAAGGCTGGCGGTTCAAACCCACCAGCCACTCCTCGGAAGGAA